ATCATGCCACTGCAATCTAGCCAGAGCAACAACTGTAACAATAAACCCCCCAAACCACCTGCTCTATCTGCCTTCTGCCTTCCCAGCCAGGTTGGTTTTCTTCTGCAAATTTAGCATCTTCTTTTCTTTCTATAAAGGTAGAAACAAATTCCATCTTCAGTATTTTGAGTCTTGGGCAAAACATACATTCTCTGCCTCTTTGTGATGTTTCCACATTTCTCAAGGTCCCAGGCAGTTTGTTTTTCTTCTTGCTTTATTAATCATCACAGACTGTAACTTTGAACTTCCTGCTTTCTTGGAATATTAGTGATCTATTCATATGTTTACATTTGGAAACACTGCAACAAAATACAGCTTGGCTTATCTTTGTGATGGAAAAAAAAAAAAAACCACATCCCATCCGCTGGCTCTGGAAATAAGGAAGACCGATTTCTCGGGGACAGACGTATCCTGTGTCAAATGCTTCGGAGAGCAAGGAGATTTCATTGGGGCACAGACTTGTGATTCTTGGAGTGGATGGCCTTGGGCAGCCTTCAGTTTTAAAAGCCTTAGAAAGCTGCTTTTTACCGAGAACACTCTCAAGTCACGTGCCAATAAACGATGAAAGTTATTTCACACTTCTTTCTGAAGGGCTCGTAGCCTTGATCAGCAGTTATAATTAATATGTATAGATGATGAAAATACCTTACTTCTTAGTAAGTCATAGTGCAGAATATATCTTCGAAAACGTTGATTAAAGTAGAATCTATTAAAGAACGTGATGAATCTTTTGGAGAGAAAATGCTAGAAGGCATGGTACAAGATGCATCCTTGAGTTGTTCCTCCTGATTAAACCTGGAGTGAGAGTCCCTTTCAACAAAGGAGACTCTGAGTTCTGATTGGGTGGCCTGTCCCATCAACACAAAAAGATGTCATAACCCCAGAATCAGGGAAGCTGCGTGGACAGTTACAGACCACGAAGGGACTGCCGTGGTTTGGGACACACAAGTCTGTGTGGGTCCTTCGATTGCGGCAAGCTGAGGGGGAGAATATTCAAAATTACTAGGCATTCTTTCAGATCAGTGACACCCTTCGCTCTGGTTTAGAGATGTCTGACTCCTTTAACCGAAAAGAAAAGAGGCCAGCCAGCTCCAGCTTGGGAAACGCAGAAGCTGGCCATAGGCAGGGATGTAATTTTAAACCTGTGCCTGGCGGAATGTTGAGTCACTGTGTTCTGACCTGAAATGTGGCCAGTTAGATTTTTATAAATATTTACAATATTTCTGCTCTCTTTCTTTTTTTCCATTGCACAAGAGAGCAATGGAGATTGCATTGCCTGGAAATACTCTTAGGCCTTCGAAATTGCATTTGCGTTGTTCTGTAGAGTAACCACGAGCTGTATCTTGCTATTTGAATTTAAATTAATAAATATGAAATAAAATTAAGCATTCAGCTCCTTAGTCTGACTAGCTATAGCCACTTATGTAGTGGGTACTGTATTAAACAGGGCAGCTATGGAATATTTCCATCATAGCATGTTCTGCATACTACTCCAGAATTTCTTGAGTAATCTTTCTTCAATTTTTTTTTTTTTGCAATTTTTGACTGGGGCTGGGTTTGAACCCACCCCCTCTGGCATATGGAGCCAGCACCCTACTCCTTTGAGGCACAAGCACTGCCCCTTGAATAATATTTCTTGCAAATATTATATAGTTACTGTGTTTCTTTAAGCCTTCCTACTTCTTCAAACTTTTCCATCCATTAAATGGGACTAAGTTCTTTTAAAAGACTGTTATGAAATTTACATGAGATATTAACTATATGTAAAGTGTGCATCCCTGGGCCTGGCACCGTGGAACATGTTAAATGATAGCTCAATAAGTCTGTTCAGACTTGGGTCAAACACACTGCAATTATGAAAGTATCAGTAATCTACAAAGCTTTCTGAAACAACCTCCTTGGAGACTAGACTGTTTTTACGGCAATGGGTCACTCATCTCTTTATTGAAGAGAGCCTTTGTTAGAGACTAGGAAGGGTAAGATTTTTCCTTTCCACAATGCTTTGTATCATCATAGGAAAGAGAGAGAAGGAAATGAGAGTGCCCTAAGTAGCAGCATTTCTAACTCTGAACCAGCCCATCTTTAAAAGTATAAATGAGATGAAAAATCTCTGTTTATACTATAGGTGTCAACACAGCTTGGGGTCCAGACAGGCAAACCGGTTACCATAATGGGAACCGTGTATACACAGCAAAGGTAATTACTTTGGGCTGCAACTGCCAACAGGATTTAGCAAACTCCCTGCCTGCAAAAGTCTGATCATCCCCTCAACTCACTACAATTGCCCAGACCTACCTGAGCTGCTCCAGCCACAGGCTCTTTGAGAACTTTTGTAATTTGCATTCCTTAGGCAAATGGAATTTGAATTCCTCAGGCAAATTTCATCCTGATGGAACCCCAAGATGACATGCATGCCATGATCTCATTGTTTGGGATTTCTGCTCTATAATCATTACTGTAGGCTTTAGCAAGCAGGGGAGGGAAAGCATTTGGGCTGGATTCCACTTGGCTTTCCTGAAGGCTTTCTTAGAGTTGAATAGTCCTTACTTTTCAAAGCAGCTTTGCAAACACCTCAGTAGCGTGTAATGATATTCTTGCACTGCCCTGGGCAGGGCACCATACCAGGATTCTGGTCCTGGGGTGCAGGTTAAGTAGCCTGTCAGTAGGTGTTCCCTGCTTACCTGTGAGTAATGCAAGATCAGAGAGCACTGGGGGGTTGCAATCAGAACACATCTAATTGTTCTGTGCTTGCCAAGAAAGAACCACACCCTTCTGTGTGTCACAAGGAGGACAAGTAGAGTCTTTGTACATGTCCAATCTTATACTCCACTTGCCAGACAAAACTACAAATCCTTTCAGTCATCAATCTGAAGAAAACCCTGTGCCTTGTATTTATCTCAGCTTATTTGTGCCTTAATCATCTCAGTAATGGAGTCACAGAATACGGCCATTTCTTAGGGACTCTGACCAATGTAGTTGTTTTGTGACAAACCTTCATTTTCGTAGGTCTTCATGACTCTGGTGAAGGCCATGGGGATTGGGTTACTGAGACATCTGCCTCCTCATTCAAGATCAAGAAATCAGCAGGTGGTCTGGACTACTGGATCGAAGTTGGAACCAGAGTTCTAGTTCTTCTGGGCTTGGGGACTTTAATTTGTCACTCCCTAAGCCACATCCTGACCACAGAATGATAATGCTTCTCTTTCATGAGGTGTTTGTGAGGCTTAAATAGGGATCTGAAAAGTGAATAAAAGTGCTATAAAGGCACATGGATATCCCTATAACATCCCACAAATCTCTCAACACTCCTCCAAATCTCTACACTCCTCCAAGTAGCAGTGTTAGAAAACACCCGTTGGGGGTCATTGTCTTCCTTCATTTTATGGATTTTGCTTTACAAAATTTTTCCTTGTCTCCACAACTCAAAAGAAAAAACATGTCTTGAGGAGCCATTTAATTTTGTTAGCTTTCTTCCAACATATTCCACCGATAAACTGGTAGGTAGGTTGCTTGGAGTACACGTAACAGTTACCTTGAGCTTTGTTCAGATAAAACCTGAGCTCCCCATCCTGAGTGCATTCAACTGTCTTGGTGCTCCCCAAACAACATTGTCATTCCCGTTTTTTTTTTTTTTTTTTTGGGTTAGAGTCTCACTCTGCATCCTGGGTAGAGTGCCATGGTGTCACCATACCACACAGCAACCTCAAAGTCCTGGGCTCAAGAGATCCTCTTGCCTCAGCCTTCCAAGTAGCTGGGACTATCGGTGCTCACCATGATGACGCCTGGCTTTTTCTTAGAGACAGATCTTGCTTTTGCTGAGGATAGTCTCAAACTCATAAGCTCAAGCAATCCACCTGCCTCGGCCTCCCAGAGTGCTATGATTACAGGCATGTGCCACTGGGTCCGGCCTTATCATTTCTACTCTAATAGTTAATCTGTGACAACAGGCTGATGGCAACCTTGCTCCCAGCTCTGTCTTGAGTGTGAAGTTGAGAGTTGGTGGTGAATGACTGACTAAATTAGTTGAGAAACCAAATGGCAGGGGTGTGACAAAATCAATCTAAACTCCCAGTGGGGGCCTGGGAGGGTGGCTACCTCATTCTGGGAGCCTTAGTAACCTAGTGGTACTTTATGACTCTTTTCATACAACTGAAGTATTACGTATTCAGGGCTAAGACATTTCAATCTTCATACAGCTCTGAACAAACCAGGTCTGAAGAAGAATCAAAAAAAGTCCTCAGTGTGTGCATCTTTTCAAAAATTATAAAGAGGTTGGGTTACCCTGCTTTCTATGCCCAGACTAAGTATTTGTTGTAATAAAATCTCTTCTGAGATGGACATCACATTGTACCTAAGACATGTTAAAATTCTATCGCAAAGAACTCTGACTTAGAATTAGTAGCCTTAGTATCTAAGTATCGTTATCTATCATCTTTGTCAGTTTAGTTTTTTTCTTAAATTTCCTTGCTTTTTGTTGTTATTGTTATTGTTGAGACAGAGTCCCACCCTATGCCCCTGAGCAGAGTGCAGAGGCATCATAGCTTGCTGCAACATCAGACTCAGGCTGTGGGCCTCTGACTGCCTCGGACTCCAAAGCTGCTGGGATTACAGGCTCTCACCTAGGCGCCCAGCTGGGTTTTTCCATTTTTTACAAGTCGGGGTCTCACTCTCACTCAGGCAAGTCTCGAACTCCTGAGCTCAAGCAATTCTCCCTCCTCAGCCTCCCATACTGCTGGGAGGATTACAGGCGTGAGCCACCTGCACCCTAGGCTTACCTACCAATTCATGTCATCTTTTTCATTTTTAAACTTTTAAGATCCCATTAGGTTTAACAATTTCCAATCCCTGCAATCTCTGAGTGGACAGGGCTGAGTGGAAAGGGCTGAGTGGAAGTGAGAATTTAAGGAGCCCGAAACCCAAGATGCTCTTCCCTTTGAAATAACAGAAGCTAACGCAACCGATACAATTGAGCAAATTATAAATTTATTGGGTGCCTACAAGTACAAAATACTGAAAGCCGCTGCAGGGGATTATAAAGTCGTGTGGGAGAGGAGCCCTGCTCTCGGCCAGAGAGCTTACAATCTAGGCGACTAGTCACATGAGCACTCTGTGATATTGCTTTAAGTGACCTCAGCAGAGTTCTTGAAAATGTTCATATCCTTCAAATTCTTTTCAAATACATAAGGAATCCTTTCAACAGGGAAGCTGAACAAGCGGGAAAGAGGCCTTTTGTGGAATCGGTCGGTGACCTTGACTTGGCTTACGTGCCTCTTTCGGCCGCTGCTGCCTGTTCTAACTTTCTCAGCATCCTTCCCTAACTGGACCTTTGTCTGGAGGGAGCCTCCAAGCTTCCTGAACCTTCACCAGGGTTTCCTGTTTGTGAGTAAGTGGCTCAGTTGCAGTTCGGCCTTGGAATGATTTGCAGTCCAACTTTTCCTTCGGCAAATCTATCTGGTTTTAGGTGATGCTAGAATGTTCTGCTGTACAGTCTGTGGTTTTAGGGGTGGGGGTGAAATGCAAAAGGAAAGCAGGCCAGACTTTTCCCTTACTTTAAACATTTAATAGTGCAGTTACTGAATATAGTCTGTACAGATATAGAGCAAGTTATAAACCTCTTCCTTTTATTTATTTTTTCACTTAGACTGTATTCACGTGAGGTGTATTTACAATAGGGAGAACAAGAAAGAAAGCCTTGAGGTACAAAAACCCAAAAGAATATCTGAGGTATAAATACAAGTATATTTTAAATAATAATCTTTATCATGCTTTATCTATGTTTGAAAGCACAGTGCACACGGGCACGTTTTTTTTAATAGAATTGGTATATACAACATATAATCTTACAAATCCAGAAGGCATCAAAATGGAATATACAAGGACATCTTCATGAGTAACAGGGATACCCCAAATACTCAAATATTAAAATTCTAATCTGAACTCCCGTGAAATTCTTCAAAAAAAAAAAAAAAGAACCCTCTGATAATAACACTGACTATGGTAACTAAATTATGTTATCACAAAATAAAAATCCTTCTTACGACGCTCATTCATACATTATTCACTTTTGATCCATACAAAATAAATTTATTAATACTGTCTCTTGAGTCAATCTTTACCATGACAGTTAAACCTGAATGAAGACCACCCCTCCAAAAAATAATTGGCTTTTTTTGTTGTTCTGGTGTTTTACTATGGTGATTACATTTTCCATTGCCACTAAAATGGATTTCAATGGATTTCATTTCTAAAGATGAAAAAGATAAAGAAACTTAGGAACACCAAAATAAAGCAAGAAGTTATAAAATCAGAAAACCTATTTGCTGATAAGAACAACCCCAATTGATAAAGTGGCAGCTTTCAGGAATGCTAATCGTTACCACCAAAACAACAACCCCCCAAAACCCATACAAAGGCCTTTTGTAGCTGGGTTAAATTTGCAGAGATTTCCCTGGGATATTCATAGTTTTCTATGTTTCTATACACACAGTGTCTGAAAGGTTTCTGTTCTAAACACAAAAATGCGAAGAATTTTAACAAGGAAAAAGTTGTGATGCTTGATTCAGGAGTAAATGTTGGAACGCTCCGTTTTCACCTCTCTTCTTAAAATCACAGCTGTGTTTTGGAGCTAGGAAGGCTGGGGGTGGGGGTGGGTGAGGGAGTTCATTCTTGACCTAATCTCTGCTAGTTAAAACTACATCACTACATGCAATCAGGTTCAAAAACAAACTGCATTTGAAGTGGATATCAGAGCAAATCTATTCGAATTCAAGTACAGAAGGAATGGGTGGAGAAAACATATGCCTAACAACTGGGGGGGGGGGGCTTCATAAATGGATAAGGGTGTTAGGAGCCCGTTCTGCTGGATCCACGGGGTGGTCAGATAGTTCAGGTTAAACTGCACCCGATGCATCAATATCCTTCTCGGAGGTGTCTCAGTGTGCCAGACACTGCGTTCCAACGTACACGTCTATGCCACTCAACCAGCAACAAATACACATTCACGCGCCTCTGTGCAAACCTTTCTCTGTGCATCTCAGTGAGAAAACATGTCGAAGAGTACCAACTATTCCAGTGGACACACCAGCCTCTCCACACACTGCCCATCGAATGACACAGGATACACACACCAATATCACAAGAGAACACACATCTTCATTATCTTCTGCAACGTAGAGTTTTGCTTCTCAGAAGCAATTTGAATAAGAATACAAATACATTTTTTTTTTTTTTTTGCACAGTCTCACATATTCCAGTCAAGGTCTAGCAACGCAGACCTTCAACAAACAGGAAGCAGCTTTAAAAATGTATCAAATGGCCAGAGTCAATTCCTACACACTTGAACTTGTAGTTTTCTTTGTTGGAGGATCAGACGCAGAACCCATCCTTCAGGGGACTGACTGGCAAGGTTCTAGAAATAACCCCCCCGGATGGTAGACACAGTTGCTTTGCTTCAGTAATCACCTCGATTTGGTGTCTTTGGTTTCAGTGTTCTGGTTCGTGAAGGAGTCCCGGATTTTTACAACCTCAGCTGCACACAAATGTCCAAAAGATTTTGTGTACCACTCCGGCATGTGGCCCCTGTGGCAGAGAAGAAAAGCAGATGAATGATTTAGGTTAGAACGCCCTGAAATGAAATGAGAAACATCTGCCTGCCGGTTCAGATGCATAAAATCGATCCTTTCCCACGGCTTTAAATTCGTGGCAGAGCTACCACAAATATTGGCATTGCTTTTGTGCTGCATTTTCTAAGGGCTTCAAATTAGGACTTGGTGTGCAAAAGACCAATGCACATTAAGATGTTCCTTTATAAGCTCTGCTCTCTTCATGAAGGAACAATATTTTTTTTATTTAAGACATCCGTCGCATCAGACAAAACGTCTGTATCTTCTTCACCAGCAGTCCCCAACCTTTTTGGAACCAGGGACCAGTTTGACGGAGGGTTGGGGATCTGACAGGAGATGGAGCTCAGGTGGTGATGAGACTGATGGGGAATAGCTGGGTGGCTCACCTGCCACTTAATGCCCTGCTGTGTTGGCCCCGTTCCTAACAGGCCAAGGACTGGACTGCTTTTGGTTCCAGGGACCGGTTTCATGGAAGACAATTTTTCTAGGGATGGGGGAGGGGAAGGGGCAAGAGGCAGAGCTCATGCAGTGACCCTGTGCAGCCCAATCCCAACAGGCGGCCACAGACAGGTACCAGTCCACGGCCTGAGCCCTGGGAACCACAGTTCTTCACGATCTTCACACTATGTCAAAAAATGAGAATCAGAACGTACCTCAAATCAGCTCTGCACATATAGGTGAGTTTGGATTTTCCTGGCCCGCAGGGTTCGATCAAATACCGGGACAAGAGCACATTAACCCGCACACCCACCACGGGCGCCCGGTCGTGGTCCACGGAGGTGAGCAAAAGTGCACACGCGCCCTTGGGTAAATTAGTCCTCCAGGTCCTGTAGAGACAAAACCGGGGAGGGGGGGGAATATTATCTTCTGGTTTAAAATATCACCTCACTCTTTCTTGGTGGACATAGCTGAGGGGCCAGGCTCAGTGGCTGTGTGTGTGCCCAAGGCCTGGGTAAAGGGCATCCTCTAAACCTAGGGTTTCCAACCCCTGGCTGTGGACTGGTACCCATCCACAGCCTGTTAGGAACCAGGCTACACAGTGTGATTGCCTGCGGTCTGCCTCCTGTCCCAGTTACGACTCCCCACCCTCCATCCATGGAAAAACTATCTTCCAAGACACCAGTCCCTGGTGCTAAAAGAGGTTAGGAACCACTGCTCTCGCTATAGTGCAAATATATTCCCCCAAACCATGTGCTAGAACCTTAGTCTCTAATGTTGGGAGGTGGGGCCTAAGGCAAGGTGGATTCAGGCTGACTATCAAAGGGCGTGAGGCTTCAAGTTCGTTCTTTTGCTCTTTCTTGCCTTCTCTTTGCCCTTTTGCTATGGGAGGAGGTGGCAAGAAGATCCTCTCCTGTCTCAGCACCTGGAGCACCGTGATTACAGAGCCGGCCACATACATAGGGGCTGGTGGGTTCGAACCCAGCCTAGGCCTGCTAAACAACACTGACAACAACAAAAAATAGCCAGGTGTTGTGGCAGGCACCTGTAGTCCTGGTTACTTGGGAGGCTAAGGCAAGAGAATTGCTTAAGCCCAAGAGTTGGAGGTCGCTGTGAGCTATGATGCTACAGCACTTTACTTAGGGCGACATACTGAGACTCTGACTTTAAAAAAAAAAAAAAAGAAGGTCCTCAGTCTTGGCCTTCCCAGCCTCCAGACCTCCTATGAGCCAAACAGATGGCTGTTCACTATAAAATACCCAGGCTGTGGTATTCACTTATAGCAACACAAAACAGACCAAGACACTACGGACTGAGGAAGACTCTTGAATAAGGAGCTTTGCACAAAGCCGCTTCTGCAGAGAGAGGTGTGCGCTCAGACCCGCTCCTTCTCAAAAAGAGAATCAGCTCAAAGTGGCTCTTTAAAACCATTTTTCAACTTCACAAATGTCTTAGACCATGGACACCCAGAGGAGCACTGCTTGTTGGAAAAGTGCTGGACTCCCGATGTGACATTTCCTCCAAGATTTTTGGAATTCCATCTTCAGAGATGTCTCCAGAGAATTTATGAATTGCATATAAACCAGCATCAACCGCAGCTCCCTTGGGACTCAAATGTTATTCCCTGGCTTATTCATTCACTAGTTGTTTCTAACTAGAAAAATCTATCCTAAAAGGGGCAAAAATCTGCTACCAATAAACATATTCATTTGAACAGGGCTCTCTTTCTGAGATCAGTTCCAAAAGAGCTCAAACCATCCAAAATGAGGACCGTACTGCTGGAATCATTTGTAGATGTATTTCCTATATATAGGAAGGCTTGCTACTTTTCTGGAGGCGTTCCGTTCTACTTCAAATAATTTAATCATCTTGTTCACATTCAGTGACATATAGGATGGGTTCTGATATTGAGTCATCCTCGCCATAAGAAAACAATTTGGAAGCTCTCACCTCAAAACTACATAGTCTCGGGCAGGGTGGGGAGCCATGCTGTTCTGCACATACTGGTAAATTTCGGTTTGACTGTCCAGAATTTCAATCACTTTTGAATCCAACAGGTCTGCATCCCAGAGGTGCTGTTCTTTTAGTAGGCGCTTTAAGATTTCTTCGGGTGTAGCGGGGACTTCAATGGTCGACCTCCAAAGCCTTAATGGGGGTCCTTCGCTCAGCTGAAAAAGAGGACATATTTTCCAGTGCTTGAGACAACCCACATTCACCCAGACTTCGAAGGCAAATTGCTAGTTGGGGACAAAGTTGTATGTTCAAAGTCTAATGAATCCATCTATGACTTTACTGGGCTGCTGTCCCCAAGTATATTTAAGAGCGAGCCAGAAAGTGTACAAGGTAGCTGTGGGTCAGTTCCAGTCAAAATGATTGCATTTGTTTCTCTGAGACCCACATCAGAGTGAATGTAATAAGGTTAGATCATCCATTTGTATCCTGAAACCTGTGTGGTCATCCAACCTGCCCTCACTGTTATTTTCAAAGTGGTAAAGATAGTATCAACAAATACCTCCCGTAGACCTTTAAGGCTGAGCTCTGCCTTGGAGGGATTTTCCAGCCCTAGCAAGTGAATCCCTGCCTCAAGCTCACTGCTCACTTTAGAGGGACAAGAGTAGAGGAAAAAAAAGGCAGATAAGAGTGCAAGGGCATTCTGACCAAATTATGGAAAAATCTTAGCATGTCATAAAATACCCCAGAGCTCAATACCAACAGTAAAACATTCTGGGGAACTCCAGTGTGATTCTGTGGAACCCAAAGGATTTCATTAGAAATACTCTGAAATCTTCTTACTAACATGTTAGACCAGATCAGTGCTATTCTTCATCTGACTGGTTTCTGCTCTTACCCGGTGAGTCTGAACCGCCTTCCTGCCCAGTGCTGCAGGGGTCTGGGCTACAGATCCCCATGGGGATTACAACTGGCAAAATACTTTATCTCTGACAAACCCGAACTTGATCTCTGACCACTGGAACTGGCTGACAGTCGGGAGAAGACTTACCTTCTTATAGGACAGCTCAGCCTGCTCAGAAGTAGAGTAGCTGACCCAGCCTTTAAACTTCTCCTTCACCTCTTTGAACAGGCCGTCCACACAGTCCTGGAGGAAGTGCTGGTAGTCAGTGGACTCGTGATTACCCAGGCGGCCCAGGGCCTCCAGGGTGAGGGGCTTCAGCTCTTGTTCAGTATAGGAATTACGACAGCGGCTCATTTCGTCAGGAACCTGTGCAGAACACAGGGACACAGGGGAGTTGAGTCCACCTGTCTGCATCACTTGGGTACGAGGCAGGGCAGAAACAATGGCCTGGATCCTCAGAGGAGGTGAGTCCACCTGTCTGCATCACCAGGGGAGGAGGCAGGGCAGAAACAATGGCCTGGATCCAGGCAGGGCACACATCTTCCCAGACGATGACGTGCATCCCTGCCAACTGTGAGGTTATAAACAGACCACCTCTATATATGTATCCTTTTGGTAGTTAGAGTAGTGGGCTAATCAGTTACATTAATTAAGCCAGTTTCTCAGATGCAGAGTTTTAGTTCCAGGCCATTTGCTGCTTTTCAAAGGAATAGTCTAAAGTTGGGGATTTCATCAAACATCAACTCTAACAAGCTTATACGTTATCATATATAAATAAGACCTTCTCAGGCTGGGGATATAATCTCCAGCTGTGGAAAAGATCTTTTGGTTAAGACATGAAGAAGTATCAAGCCTAAGATTTTGTACCTGTTCACATCATCCTTAACAAAGGACCCAACCTTCCTACATCCTTACCTGGAAAAGCTTCTTGCACTCAGCAATCATATGGGCCAGCCCTTGAGTGGCAGCTAGGTTTTCGTTCAAATCTTTCTGATCTGGTTTGCCCAAACTTTGTTTTCTTTGCATTACCCTAGGTGGAAGAAATGCAGGAAAGAAAGGATTCAAATATTTATACACTTTCAATCCACGTATTATCCAAAGAAGACAAAAGAGGGAAAAAAAAAAACATTTTTCTGGAGCCTACTTTTTAAGTGGTTTAAGAGAGCTTTTAATTTGGTCACCTGTGGTTCTCAGAGTTTTATCAACAGCACAAAGAAACATTAAAGAGATCTGTTAACATAACGAAATCCAGGTGACGTAAAGACATTTTGTTCGGTAGGTTTCTAACTTAAACAGGGCAGCTTGTAAGGTCTATGTAGGCATGGTGGGGAGGAAGAGGCAGCTTTGGAAGGGTGTGGGGTGGGAATCACTGGGACATAGGGCAAAAGGTGCCCCTATTCTTAACTGTTTAAATATACAGGGTCACCTCCTGGAGGTGAGATACAGTTTCTTAGAGGTTTTGTCTTAATCTTATCTAATCTCCCACTTCTACTCATCTCTAGTTGTCTATCCCACTGCCACTGGAATGCGCCAATAGAAGCTTTGAACTACAGAACTACAACAGAACCTCTGTAAGTTGATCACCCGAGGGACCATAACAAAGTGCTCACTACGTGTAGGTGGTCAACATAAGGAAGTAGGCCTACTCTACTGAGACGTACATGGAGTGCATGTCTGTCTGTGAAAATCAGGTCAACCTAAGGAAGTGGTCAGTGTAGGGAGGTGGTCAACTATGGAGGTTCTAATATAGTTAAAAAGATATTTAAACATTATGCGGCTTTCAGAAGCAAAGCTAACTTCAACCAGCCCAGGTAGGTCCCACGGCTCTAGCTAAGAGATAACATTTACCGTTAAAGTTCCTTAGGGCTGAGGAAAAGGATCAGCCAGATGGACTTAGCCCAGGCAGGTTAAGTCCAATTAGTGCCCACTTTCTTTCTCTCTCTCTTTTTTTTTTTTGCAGTTATTGGCTGGGCCTGGGTTTGAACCCGCCCCCTGTGGCATATGGGGTCGGTACCCTACTCCTTGAGCCTCAGGGACTGCCCAGTGCCCACTTTCTCCATATGTTCCCCTAGAAGGGCTTTACATGAGATAGTCAGAAAGGCAGGAAGCTCGAACTCCCTGCCACCTCTTCCCGCCAGATATAGGCACGTTGCTTACTCAATTAACTTCCCCTAAGCCTCCCTTTCCTCGCATGTCAAAAAGATGCTCACAGCTCACAGTGCCTTCATCTCCTGTAACTGCCTTGGGAATTATTATCATTATTATTAATTGAGACAGAGTCTCACTCTATGCCCTGGGTAGAGTGCTGTGGCGTCAGAGCTCCCAGCGACCTCAAACTCTAGGGCTCAAGTGATCCTCTTGCCTCAGCCTCCCAAGTGGCTGGAACTACAGGTGCCCACCACAACGCCCGGCTAGTTTTTCTATTTTTAGTACAGATGGGGTCTTGCTCTTGTTCAGGCTGGTCTTGAACTCCTGAGCTCAGGTGATCCACCCACCTCTGCCCCTAAGAGTGCTAGGACTGATTATAGGTGTGAGCCACTGAGCCCAGGCCTGTCTTGGGGGTGAAACGAGATAATGAATGAAAGGGCATCACTCTGTGCCTGCTACAGAATAAGTGCTTAGTAATTATCAGCTTTTGTTATTTTTTGGATTTCTTGTTTTTCTCCACAGCCACTCAATCTTATCACTAGGTGTATTGTAGGTAGGAGTTTTGCAAACAACTGGCTTCAGCCAGACCCCCAATCACCTCTAAGGCTCAACACGATTCTTGGTTCTTTTAGGCTATTTCCTTTCAATGTCCAGCCCAGGCCCAGAGTTGGGCTTTACTGACCATGCAGAGTTCAAGGTGGCAGGAGTCTTATTCTCCATCTAGTTTTTGAGGCCAGTAACTTGTATGACTCTCTGCTGGCAGCGGGTCTGATGCTTTACCAGACTTGCCTCAAGAGTAAATACTTGCCAGGCAAAGCAGGGATCCAAAACTTGCTCTCTCACGACTCTGGTTGTTATCAGATTGTCTAGAAAGTCGCTGCCCCGGGGCTGAGAGGAGAGGCAGAAGTGTGGTGGAGGTGTGTGGGCTGTGCGTGAAGGTGGTCTAACCCCTTTTCTGCTTGGTTCAGGTAAGAATCCAACAAAATCACAGGCCCTTGTCTGGGGGAACAGAGCCTGGCGTGCACTGCCCAACCGACCTGTACCTTGGGGAGGAATTCTCTCTCTTCAGGGTGTTGAGATGGAACAGCGAGGGCGCCAAGCACACGGCCAGGTTGGTGGGCGTCATCTGGTTTTCTTTCACAGCTGCTGTGACATCGCTCAAGAAATAAAGAAGCGTCTGGAGAACCTCCCGGTTGTCGTCAGGTAGGAGCATCACGGCGGCCTTGATGGCCTGGAGGCGCTGGTCCTTGGGCACATCTGCGGGACACCAGAATTTCCCCCATCAACCTGGTGATTTTCTGCGCCCATGGCAAGGAAACGTCCCAAAGCAAATATCAGCATCTAATACCTCCGCCTAGTACTGAACGAGCACTTGCAGAAAACGTACTAACTGGAGGTTGGAATGGAAAAAGTTATGAATGGCCACCGGCGTCACTGCCCTCAAGTATTTCCTGCCTCATGGAGGAGTTAAAAAATTTTAAACACCCACTATACCAAAACACTCTTAAATCTACCTCGGAGTTTAGCTCCTGAGGAGGCCTGTTCTTTTGGCTTACAGAATAGCTTTTTTTCTTTCCTGAGCACTTTTTAAAAAAATTGGCAGTTTCCCAATCTCAATTACTGCAAACATTATATACCCTGGATACTTCTGTCTTGTACCCATGGAGAATCTTATTCACACTAGTTCTTCCAGAGGTTAAGAACTGAACACTCTTTGCCTCAGCTATAAAATGTACAGTGTGTTGGAGAACTCTCCCAAGTTTAACTGATTTGCTCATTCTTGAAATGCCCCAAGTTAAGTTGCTAAAATCTTCCACCAAATTAAACAAGAGGCATACTGAACTAGTAATTTCTTAAGTCTTTTGAAGGTACGGAGAGGCTGTGATAAAATTGCATACAGAGATGTGAAAATACAAACGCAAATAAACCCATACTACAATCCACACGTAGGAAGCTTGACCTTCAGGTCTCCCTTACTGGACGCATGTTTTAAAAAGCATGTGGTGGAAAAAATCAAGTCACTCAAACCCAGCTCCATAGGACAACCTGATTAAACAGCTCCATGGTTACAGTACATAACAAATACCTTGGCGGGGAAAATGTGACCTGTGTTTTCATAAAATATGAAAGGGTGAAACAACTAATGAAATAATCCAGACCAGCTCCATTTCTCATAAAATAAAGTCCAATACGCCAGTTCTAAAGACAGTTTGAACACTAAGAGAGGCTGCTTTTAAATTACATGGCTGTAATACCACGCCAAGCCAAAAAAAAACACAAGGCTGTAAAAGCTACAATCCTCATCTTGATCATTAATTTAGACAACTGTTTGCTTTAAGCTTTACATAAAAGTGAGAGGGGCATGGCTATTGTTTTCCCAAGTATTTCTGGCAGAGACTGCGATGAATAACAGAAAGAGATTATTTATTCATTTTCTAGCAAGATAGAACACACAGACACCTGTGAAATTTTAAGCAGAACAGCCGTGCTAGAGAGAGGTCGGGAAGCAACTGAAATTTCTGCAGACAAGGTGGAAAGAGAGATCTTGGTTTCTAATCTCTGACTGAGCATCTCAGCTAACACTGTTCTAGGAACAAATGAGAGAACGAACTGGATCAGGATGTAGAAATGAACAACTGCTCCAGTCCGTACCGACTGGGAAGTTTATATTCACATCATCCCGTAAGTAGGCAGAACAACCTGTCCCAAGGAGGTAGGGAAGAAACTGGTGACACGTGTTTCCCAGAGGGGACCCAGCACGTAGGTCCTCTTGTCAAGAGAAGGACATCAAAGGACCCAAAGCATTAGCTGCTCCCACTTTCTCCCGGCACCGCCAGTCCTAAGATCAGAGGACACTCACACTGGTAGATCTGCAGAAAGGTCTCCGAGAGTTTGTTGGTCATGAGCGGCTCCGGCAGGTCTCGGAAGTACTGCTTCAGCATGTCTGCCACGTCGTAAGCAGACTGTCCCTCGTAGCTGACACAGTCTAGGGCGCCTTCATTCATCTGGCGCAGAGCCTGAATCCGGGATTTGACCCCCGATTTTCTGAAGAGCCCAACCTTGTTGGAAGAGAAACATTCCATTAAGCGTCAGGAGCACTGAGACGGAAGCAGCATCTTCAGAACAAAGGGAGATGAGGCGCGGGGTATGCCGGTGGCCCTCACCTGGTCCAGACAGTGGTTCCGGAGGTAACGCATGGCCTGCAGGATGCTCTGGGGCAGGGGCTGTCCCGTGCGCTGCACGTTGACCGTCAGAGGCACCCCAAACACGTGCCGGTCCTTGTAGTCTGGAACCTTGATCCTTTTCATGAACTTGGGCACAGCCCTGTTTAAAAAACAAGGTGGGGGTAGGTGTGAGATAGGTTAACTTGTCCCTCTACACCTGTCTTTTTTTTTTTATTATTAAATCATCGCTGTGTATATTAATGCAGTCCTGGGGTACAGTGTGCTGGTTTTATATACAATTTGAAATATTTTCATCAAACTGGTTAACACAGCCTTCACGGAATTTTCTTAGTTACCGTGTTCAGACATTTATATTCTACATTTAGTAAGTTTCACATGTACCCTTGTAAGATGCAGTAGGTTCTATGCCTGTCTTATAGCTGAGGGGGAAGCCTGTGGGCTCTAGAGCTTCGCTAATAGCTTAGCAATTTACATGTAAATTAGACAGAAGGACAAATTTAGTTCAGTAGTACCAGCCACAATTCAAGGGCTCCCTCCTGGTCATTTGCCACCAGTAGCTACTGTACTGGACTGTGCACATATATACCATTCCCATCGTCCAGACTGGTCTGTTGGATGGTGCTATTCTAGACTAAGAGTTGGGGGTGCACGGCCCAGACACATCTCCTCAGTTGGGGTTGTCCTTCTACTGTTGACCTTGAGAGTCGGTGTCTACCGTCTTAGGGAGCTCATAAACTTCCTCGCAAAATGACAGAAGTCAAATTTACTATGAGTATGAAAAGGAAGCTCCTATTTCTCTTGAAAAAGGGAAAGAATCTCTTCTGAGTTCTTGATGAGCTGCAAAGTATTTAAGGCAACTGTTCAGTGGACACTGGATGGAAAAACAGTCAACACACGAGGTTAGTCTAACACAGGGGGAAGCAACTCCAGAGCTCCACGGTGAATGACCAAAGTCAAATGCGCGGTGAATGACCAAAGTCAAAATAAACTGTCCTGATGTTCCTGGAGAATATAACATCTTTAGGTTTCTAAGGGAGGATGGAAGAGGCACAAGGGGAGGTTTGCGAGCCTATCGCAGCCTTCCCCAGTCCTGACACCGGGTCTGGCCCCTCCCCCATCCCCAGCAGTATAAGCACCAGCAGGAAACTGATGTCATACGTTTAGGCTGTCAAGTAGAAATTTCAGCTCTCCAAATGACCTCTCTCAATGGGACAAGAAAGGGCAAGGCCAAACAGGAAAGGAACTTTATGTAGAATTTCTCTGTGTTCCCTGGATCCCACAATGTGAGGCTTTTACATTGGGTCTCGACTCACTGGAAATACTGACCAGAACTCAAGACGTTATTATGGACTTCTGAGATTTTTGAGGGTTTGGTGGCAAGGGGAGGGGGGGAGTTCAGAAAGGAGAATCTAAAATATGCAGTTTTAAATAGCCAGCAGGGAAAATATTACTCCAAGGACAGAGGATCTCTGCTGCAGAGTGTGGCCGCTTTTGAGCGCTTACTAACAGCCACGGCAGGGTACTGTTTATAGCTCCAGAAAAGGTAGAACGCAGAGCGCGGAGTCCAGCGTGTAGCTGCATACAGTTAAGTGTATGGTATCACGGCTGTAAGTGTGCATAATACTCGCTTTGTCGGGGGAGAAAGGCCCAGCAGCGGAATGTGGAAAGAACACATTACGATTCCCACCGAGAATCTGAAGCATGTGAGGATAAACCGGTCAATACTTATTTCTGTCATTCAGAACAAACAACTTCTGTATTTAGCAAGGCTCACATAATAACAGCCTTTGAACAGGAGGTGCTTTGATGCTGCAGTTAAACTCACTCTGAGTCCTAGGCCAGGAGGAGCGGCAGAGGGAAGGGACAGTTACGTCGCTTGCTTCGCAAACTCGCTCCAGTAACTGGGGTGTGCCACACGAATGGGCTGCTTCTCCCTTTGTGTCAAACACAGTAGTTGTGCAACGGGGTAATAAAAGACTTAGATGACTTTAAAGATGGAAGGCCACCCAGCTGACACTGCGAAATGCACTCAGATGTCAATCTAAAGACATTTTTCTGCTTTGTACAAATAGCAGAAAAATTAAGAGGCTTACAGATTTTAGGTCACATTCACAACCCATCTTGGTTAACATTCTGTGTGTGGTACTATACACCAAGGGCTATAGTTTTAAAAATAATTAGGAACAATTCACCTAGTACGTTTTATCATAACTGATATCTATCTATCTATCTATATTTAGGTATATAAATATATATCAATTTATATATAAATATATGTTATATTATATATCAATATCTCAATATATTTTTAATATATATATCAATTTTTAATATGTCTCTATATCTATCTATATATTTATATATATTAATATATATCAATTTATATATAAATATGTCATATTACATATATTATTATATTATATTTGGTATATTATATGTCAATATCGATATATTTTTAATATATATCAATATATATCAATTTTTTAAATATATGTATCTCTATCTATCTATCTATCTATATGTATATATATATTTTTTTTTTGCAATTTTTGGCCGGGGCTGGGTTTGAACCCACCACCTCCAGCATATGGGGCTGCGTCCTACTCCTTTGAGCCATAGGCACCGCCCCAATCATTATTGATATTTTAGTCTATATCTCAGTGTAGTGAATTCCTTACATAGATTTGAGTGTCTTTACTGGGAAACAAACAAACCATAAACCCCTTTGCACAGGTAGGTCTCTGAGTGATTCTGCAAGTACTTGCATCCAAAATGATTTCTCCAAATATGCATCAGTGGGATTATAAGGCCACATATGGCACAGCAAGCATTTTGGAGATGGTCTCATAACATCTTCACATTTTTCTTTCTCCCTTCCATAAACACAAAGTGGTACTACACATATATTTACCTACCACGGGGAAGGACGTGCCTATGCCATGCCATGTGAATGCATTCTCAGGGCGGCTCCTGTGGCTCAAAAGGGTAGGGTGCTGGCTCCGTATGCCGGAGGTGGCGGGTTCAAACCCAGCCCCAGCCAAAAAAAAAAAAAAAAAAAAAAAGGAAATGGATTCTCATCCAGCTCCATCAACTGGCAATTTGTCACTCAAAGAACTGAAAACTCAATCAAGCAACTCATACTGATAATTCCCGAAAACCACCCTGGCTTTCACAGTGTCACACGGGACCTGAGGAATGCTGAGACCCATTGCAGTAGGATGACAGGCTAAAGATACCCATCAATGACAGACCTGTCATATGCTGAGTGTGGGGACAGCCTCAAGGAGCTGACGGAAAATACCACTTTCAGTGACAGTTTAAACTCTCACCAGCTGAAACCATGCTTGTTGGAAGGTGTGTATTTTTCCAGCAGGGCCGTTAACTTCAGGAGCGAGTACTTCTGCAGCAGGTTCATCTGGGCCACGGACTGGCAGTTTATCTGCAGTGACACGGAGTTCAGGCTGGGCCGATGAGAGCTCTGGAAACTGTGCCATCTCAGTCTGTGCCTGGGAGAGGAGAGGACGGGGACTGAGCACGAGGCTTGTAACAGGTGGACGTGAAATCAGCAATGACCTGTCCCCTGGCATCTTATGTATAAACTGAGAGGACTCGTTCTCTATATCTCATCCATTTTCTTTCTCCCTCCCCCTTAACACACAACATAAAGTTTAACATTTTAACCTTTTTATTTTTCTTTTTTAAAGAGATAACGTCTGGCTCTGCAGCCCAGCCTGGAGTGTAGTGGTATAATCACAGCTCACTGATGCTGCAAAACTCCTGGGCTCAAGCCATCCGCCTGTCTCAGCTTCCTGAGTAGCTGGGACCACTAGCCCACACCACCACGCCTGGCTTTCATTTTAACCATTTGTAAACGTACAGTTCCGTGGCACTGAGTCCATTTACACTGTCTGTGCAACTATCACCAGTATCCATCTCCAGAATTTTTTCCACTCGTCCCCATCTGGAACCCTGTACCCATTTAGTAATGTCCATTCTTTTTGAATGCTGGCATTTCCTGGTCTGACACCTTCCTTAGGAATTCAAAAGGCTGGGAATTGCCGGACTTAATCTCATTTCCTCCCATAGAACAAGCGGAAGCAGTTTCCTTCTCATCCTCTGTCCACAGTCTGCAGGGAGGAGAAAGGCTCTTACCTGGTGGACCTGGTGAGGGACGCCCCGACCCCAGAATCCCTTCGTTCTGGGATGTCGGAGGGCTCTTCGGGTTCGTTCAGGGAGTTGCCGGTGCTGTCCAGGTCACTGGGTGTGGCGCGATCGTTGTCCACATCCAGGTGAATCTGTTTTGGAGAGGACGGGCACGGAGAGACTGAGTCCAGGGCCGAATCGGAGTCTCCCTCATCCGAAAACTTCTCCGACCACTGATTGACTATCCGTTGCATCCCCTTCACGTGGTAGAGGATGTCGTCCAGCTCTGGGAAGATGTCCTCGTTCTCCAGGTCAGCCAGGTCACCCGAACTGGAATAGAGGATGGAGCCCGGCACGTTGTCGTAGATGCTGAGACGGCTGCTCACGGAGCTCGAGGAATTGCGCCTCTTGAGCTCCTTGGGGCTGTCGCCACTGTTTTCCCTCCTTAGGCTGATGTGGCCGGAGCCGTGGAAGCTTCCTGTCCTCCAGTTCACTGAGCTGTTATTCCCTGAGGGGGAGAAATTGCCATTGGAGAGGGCCTTGGGGAAAGTGCCAGGCTTGTGATCTTCGGGGATGTAGAACACCGTGTCCTCTGGGTAGCGCTCGCGGTTTTTAAAGTTCTGCTCCACCACGTTGTTAAACGTCGACTGATTGAAGGGATCGAAGCCCTCTAAATACATGCCCACCCGCTTGTTGCAGGCACTGAGGCTCCGGGTCCTGGTGACCGGGCTGGGTGTGCTGACGGCGCTGCTGGTCTCCGACTGGCTGCTGCTGCTGCTGGTCTGCGTGGAGTTGGAGACGCTCCTCTTTCGTACCATGGGGACGTTGATGCGGTTGCCGTTGAGGGCGGAGATCTCCACGCAGTTCAGCTGCTTCAGCTTGTCCTCGTCCACTCCCTCGTGCAGAATGGGCCCGCTGATGACCAGCCCCAGCTTGGCGGGCGCTTTGTGCTTGCCTTGGTGTGAACCCTTGAGCTTCAGGCTCTCCATCCGTTTCAGCAGGCTGCGCGTCTTGGACTTGGGGTTTTTCTCGTGGCCTTTCATGCTGAAGCTGAAACTGGACAGTTCCTTGGGAGAGGGCAGGCTGCAGAAGGAGTCGTCATGGGCTGCAAAGTTGCTGGAGGAGCAGACGCTGGTGACTGAGTTAGTTCGGGGGGTCGTGGTGTCCTCGCTGGGGGGCGCGTGGCTGGGGAGGCTGCTGGTGCTGCTCATGCTGCGGACGGAGGACACCTCCTGGCACTCCACAAGGTCCATCAGCATGCCCCCGGGGCTCGCAGCATCCTTCCGGTGAGAATCATCTGGGGACCCAGGGATTGGGTCATCCTTTGGGGAAAAGACATCGAACTCTTCAAGCCGGGACCACCTCTTGCTGTCCCTCTGGAAAGTCCATTTGCCACTTATGGCACAAGGCTCGTCCTCATCTGAGTCCTCACTCTGCAAGACAGAAATAAACCATTCACAGCCTGGGACCGGCAGCCAGCACGGAGTGGGCATGTGCAAGGGCCAGACAGCTCAGAACCCCTCCACGGTCCATTCCCCCTTGCTTTCTTACTTTTTTTTTTTTTAATAACAAAGATGTATTTAAAAGAATTTAACAGGAGAAAGCATGACCAAATGCTGTAAGCTAAATAAGAGTGATTTTATGGAAACTCCGGGATCTATAGGCCATTCTTTAATTGCTCACAGAGGAAACCTCTGAGATCGGTGAAAATTCCAGGCATGCTAAATATTTTGAACTGGAGTCAGCAACTGGTGGGACCGCCTCTGGATGGCCTCCAGTTTTGCTGTCTGCTGTTAGCACGTGTTTATATTACCGTTTGCAATTTTAAAAGGTAGTTTTCAAATACTAAGAGGAGTGGTAACTGAAATCTCTAGCTACTCTAAACATTCGCGAGATCTCCTAATGGCCTAATGGGGAATAAGGAGAGCCATCCGTGGCTTCCGTCCCTTCTGTCCCTTCTGTATCCTCTTCCTTGTTCCTCATTTTCCCCTCCCCCACCAGACATGGGGGCTGGAGCCCAGGCCACAACGGTCCTGTGAAGTTTCAACCTGAGACCTGCTCTGGGCCATTTAACAAGGCTTCCCAAATACCCGGCCCCGACAGCATATAACATTCCTAAACACCAATACATCTTTGCTGGTCATGCCTGATTTATGTACGGGACTCACAGATAGGCTGTCACACGGACTACTGCGTCCCAGTCTTTTGGGTGGGGTATGAAAAGGCCCCACTGAGTATGACACATATCTTTCCCACTGGTGTGGAAACTATCCTATGACCCGAGTTGCACAGGACAATGGGCAGACAGCGTGAAACGCTAACTTGCAGGACCGTTTTGCACAGCTCAGTGGGTGCTGAGGTCCTAGTTCATTTGTTTAAAAGGTTTAACTCCTCTAGAAGGCAACTTTTCGCAGGTCACGGACTCCAGGATAATTAAAACTTGCACTCTTGACAGTCGGAGAATGATGTCCTTTGACCAAACTTATCCCTGTTTACTCTAATTTGAGACATTCACTCCCAGCACTACACCCACCTCTTCTCCTAAGATCTCATAAAAAGGTCCTTGCAACTCGTACACAGAAGAAAATACCACCCCGATTCACTTATGTGCCACCATTGGACTCAAATGTGTCGGGCTTCCTGTCTTCTCCGCCCCCCCCCTTCCTCCCTCCAAGACTCTTAGTATTCTTCAATATTCCACCCACCAGCCTTCAGGCTCATCTCTACAATTTGAGAAGACCAAAAGGTTTGAAAAGAACTTTAGTTTTATTTTATCTAGGAAACAATGCAAAAATGCAGTGGGATTCCCTAAACCTCATCCCTTTATTATGCAATAGGCATTAGTTTATTAGGCAAAATAATAGATGATCTGTTCCGGTCAAAAACAGTAGACGGAATAATTAATTGGCCAGCTACCGAAGTCTATACAGTCTTTGGTAAATTTGACCAGACTGTAACATAAAAAATACAGATGCTTGCAGGACTAGAAAATAAGGATCTGAGAAATAAAATCTATTACAAAATTCACCAGCCAGTTTTTGGTTCTCTCCTTTTCTACCCATCCCTGCTATATAATTTATATATACTCACTCTTTTCCGATGAGGACTAATTTCGAGCTTCATCACCGCACATTTGTTTAAGGTATTTAGCCGCCTACAGAGCACAAAAAAAAAAAAAAAAAAAAAGAAAAGCCAACAACTCA